CTAACACCTGCTCAAGCCATTCCACAACATTCCCTCCACATGCCACCCAATTCCCGTCCTCTGGCATCTCCTCAGCCCTCTCACCGGAATTCGTGCAAAGGTTCCAGAAGCTCCCCAGCCCCACCGAGGACGCCACCGACGCCGCCGCGGAGGAGGCCGCCGCGCCCCAGGAGGCGCTACCGGTGAGGGGCAGCAGCACCGGGCGGAAGGTCTCCGCTTGGTCGAAGGATAACATGTGGTCGACCTGCCGTCGGACACACACGGCCCGCACAACTTGGCGCTCGAAACATGGCGCGCAGGACACGGGCGCGGGGGGGGGGGGGGGGCGCGCGCCGGGCGTAGTGGTTGGCTCGATGCACATGTATGTGTTTTTGGGTTGTGGAAGGGGGATTTGCACGCAGTCTTGCTGACATGGGGGTGTTTCTCCCAAGCTTAGTGAGTGGTTGCGTTGTCATAGGGGGAGGAGAAGGAAAAGCAAAACTACCAGGAGATACCAGGAGGATCGGCCTTCTGTAGGTCAAAGCGAAAAATCTGCCTTGGTTGAAGCTGGCCAAAACCAGTAGAAAAACGTCAGTCGATCAAGTTGGAAGCATGGTTCAAGTGGGTTGAGCAGCGTGCTCGGTAGACCGACACGAATGCCAGTCCAAGGCAGTAGAACTTATCATCTATTAAATCGATTATCATCTACCCGATGAGCAGGGATTTGCCTAACTACACTTGTATAACTACATCCACTGGTCATTGACCCCGGCTGCCATCAAAACATCCCTGGGTGTCATCCGAACATCTCAGTGCTTCACTCACTGTAGCACGCTCCACATGAAGCCAAGGACTGCAATCGCGACCTGAAGGGGCCCCCACCGACGTTTGACCTTTTGAGGTATCCGTGCCATACGAGACGTCACACCATCCCTGCCTTCAGCTCGCGTCCATCCTTCATGTGCAGGGTGATCTTCACCTCAACTGCTTCGAAAGTGGTGACATAGAAGCATCAAACAACTTCGCTGAAAAAGGCTGATTGGGATCAAGTCATGACCTTGTGTGATGGTTTGTTTGTCTATGCCCTTGCGCACCGACGACACCAAACGGTGTCATGGCATCAAAGAAGAAGAAGAAGAAGCAGGAGGAGGAGGAGGAGGAAAGAAGAAAGAAGAAAGAAGAAAGAAGAAGAAAGAAGAAGACAGAAGAAGAAGAAGAAGAAGAAGAAGAAAAAAAAAGAAGAAAGAAGACGAAAGAAGAAGAAAGAAGAAGACAGAAGAAGAAGAAGAAGAAGGGATCAGGTGCTGAAGCTAGCTTCCAAAAGCAAGCACATATCATCACATCTCATCCCTTGATGTGTCACTAAAGTACTCCACGATGGTCGCCAAGGAGTCATCCCGGGAAAGCTAGATTTTCTAAGCAACTTCTTCACTCCCAGAATCCATCTGAACTCATCCCCCAAAAAAAGACACCTCTCAAAGAACATCTCACAGACACCTGCCAGCCCACACCCCATTGTCCCAATGTTCAGCCTCCCTTCCCATCACATCTGGCCTCGAAAGTGCCCCAGCCCAGGCGAGTGAGCTGGAAGGGCGGCTGCTGGACCTGACCGCTGCCGCTTGGCGATCCAGTTCGGTGCAAAATGCCGCCGACACGGGCGATCCGACACGGGATGGAAAGTGATCCAAATAAATGTTCAAGTGAAGTCTTTCCCATTGGCAGCCATTGGTATGGATTATTTTTGAAGACTGGTTGGGTTCCATTGGAATGTTCTGGAACCTTCTAGGAGGCCCTCCCACGCAAGGGTAAGCCCCGTCCGGGCCACCACGCGAAAACACCTCCTGTCCGGGACTCCCAAAGTGGAACCCCCTTTCAGGCGATTAGATTCGGGGATGGTGGTGACTTCACGGACTTCAACGCTCCGGATCCAGCCGAGGGGGGGAGGACACCCATACCGCGCTCGGTGGAGAACCCGGCCGCGGTCCGGGTCCGCAGCCGGGACCGGGAGCGCGCGCCCGGCGGCCTCAACGATGGGGTCACGGAAGGTCTCGTGGAGCTCGAAAACCACCTCTTCGGAGTGGAGTGGGGCTCCCAGGAGTCAAGTCAGGCGTGGGTAGTGAGAGCGCCTTGAAGTCATCATGTGTCAAAAGCCTTTAGTAGGCCTAACCTCTATATAAATACCAAAAGGCCATGGAAAAGAAATGGGAAGAACCATTGAGACCAAACCACCCACATCTACCTCCAACACTTCTCCCCAACACCTCCAACCGCCGCCTGGGTTTTCGCCGCGTCAAAGCTCGGTTCCCTCCCGCCTTCTGCACCAAGGCCTCGTCTTCCGGCTTGTTGAAGCGCACCGCCACCGTCCACTCATGCACACGGGGGCACCCGATCGGCGGCTCTTCAATGCGGCCATAGTGTTCCCCATTGGCGGCGCGTGCAGCGGCCTCGTCGTCGGGGAGGAGGCGGTAGAGGTTGCCCACCTTGCAGGAAGTGTGGTGCTGAAAATTGCGCTTTTGGCAGAAGTTGAGACTTGCAAGGATCTTAGTGAGGGGAATTGGGGAGCGTTATGACGAGCAGCCCAGGAGCGTGCAGGTTGTCTTGCTTGTTAAGGTTGGAGTGCGGGAGGGCAAAGGAAAGCAGAAAAAATCTGGAGCTCCTTCCAAGCTGGACTCATCGTCCCCGGCCTGGACTGTTTGCTTTGGGGTGGCATAGCCACCAAGCCGGGCCACCTCCTTCGTCTTCGTCCGAATTGAAGTGGCAACATGCGACACGCATTGTGGCACCCTGACGGAGTCACAACAAATACACATTACACAATTAGCGCCCAAGCAGTCCTTGTGAAGCTCCAGACCTTTCAGAAGGCCTCCCGACAAGTTCGTCTGACCACCTCATGTGGGGACGGCTGGATGACAGGGACCGGCTGCCAGGGTGGAAAGGTCTCAGAACCGTCGTCCAAAGCTGCCCTTGTGGTTCGAGACCTCAGGACCTTTCGTAGGCCCTTGCAGAGTCTCCAGATCCAGCTGCAGTGCTGTGGACACCACAGTGCTTTTTTGAAGTACAGGGGGCCGGACCACCCAAACCCTCCTGCAGGCCGGACCACATGGACTCTCAAAACCGTCATTGGAAAGGAACACACGGTCTTCCACGGGGTCATTTTCAGGGTCCATGTTAGTCTGCAGGGAGGGTAAAATTGGGATGTCACTTTTGGAGAAGATGGTCTTCCTATCCATCCGTCGGAATCAGTTGCAAACTGTGTTGACTGTGTTGACGGAGGACGACGCACTTAACCCAAATGCCTTAAGTAGCCTCTTTCTATCTATATATATATATAGATATAGATATAGATTGATGTGCAATTCCATGATTCCATACAATTCCATAAGATGAATCAGAACACATCCGTACAAATTCCATCCACCCCCAAAAAAAGAAAGTGTGGCACTTCCTCAAACCAAATTCCCTCACAATTCCCCCATCACTTCCGCGGCCTCCAAACCGCCCTCACCCCTTCGTCCTCACCCGTCCTTCCAAGCCGCTGATCTGGATCTTCTCCACCGCCGCCTTGAGCCGCTCGCGGCCGGCGGCGTCGCAGCGCGTGAGCGGGCAGGTGACCTTCACGTCGCTGCCGTACTCCACGATGCCCAGCGAGTCCTGCGGAGCACGGAGCACGCCCGGCACGCGCCGAGGGAGGGCAGGGAGGGGCCAAGAGGGCAGGGGATCAACACCCCAGGTGAAAGTGGTCCCAGAAAACGCGCGAGGCGCGGCGCTGGGGGGGGGGGGAGTTTTTGGGGCTGCCCAGTGGCGGTTCAGAGGTTTAGTGGAGGTTCGGTGAGCCAAGGGCACAAGGTGGGCAAGGTGCCACTGGGACATAAACCACGGGAGAAACCGTGTCCAAAAAAAAGGAAACTTTCAGTCTCTCAGGTCATTTGATGGGGCTTCGGCCGGAGAGACCGAGCCCCGAGCCCTTCATTTCCGGGGCAAATCCTTCTCGCACAAGTAGCGGAGCATGAAGATCATGGTCTGCTTCACCAGGCGGATCTTCTCACCTCGCTACCAGGTTGCCAGGAGCAGTGGCGAAGCTGGTGGAGAAGGTCAGACATGTGTGCACCGTGGTCCGAATGCCTCTGTCTCTGATAAGCCCCTACTAAACTACGATCAAGCTTTCAAGATACGTCCAAATCACCCCCTTGTGCACAGCCTCTCCCAAGAACTTAGAACCTTTATGGCACCCCACTTCCACCGAGATGATTATATACCACCCTAGAAATCAAGCGATGTCATCAGAAAATCCCTCTGCACAGCCCCACCAACACTGCCTTGCATGCTGCCGCTCTTATCCAGCACTGCCACCAGGTTCAAGGGCGCGCGCTGGTCGCCCTGCTCGTGTGGCGCCACCACCGACAACATCGCCCGAAACTCTTGCGCCTCAAAGGCCACAACTGAGCGTTCCAAGGCCACCTCAGTGCGCATCGAAACAGGGAGCCAGCTAAGCTATGTGAATGGGAATGGCAGGGTATGGTGAGGCAACTAGGCTGCAGCACGAAACTCTGATCCTCACTCTGAAAATCGACCGCGGCACCAGCGGCCCTTCACCCTCCCTCCCACACTCGCCAGCCGCACCTCGGCCCGCAAGCGGTCGGCAGCGTTGACGGCCTCGCCCTCCACCACGCTCCACCCATCCAACGCCGAGGAGGGTGCATTGCTGAGCACTTCGTATGAGGCCATGCTGGTCATCGAGAAGACGCGAGGAGGAACCCGCGGGGCGGGTCGTGAAGCACAGAGCGCGTTTTTTCCGGCCGCGGGGCGTTTGGAAAGCAAGGTCTGCGGAACGGAACCGGTCGATCGCCAAGTGCCAGGTACACGGAACATGCCAAACATCCCATGTCTGTTTCTTATTGCAGAATCCCCAAACACCTTACAAGACTGTGGCTTTTTCCTCGTCTCATTCGGATCTCTTCCTTCAACCGGTCTGCCACGGTCTACCGCACCCTCACCGGCTCCACACCGCACCCTCACCGCGCCTTCCCCGCAGGCGGCCATGCTAATCCGCCGGTCCAACAGCCAGCGGTTCAGCACGGTGAGCGTCGCCGCCAGGGCGGTCTTGCGGTCCGCCTGGCACGGCGCGCCAAGAGCGCAGGTTCCACCAGCGGCGCCAAAGCATCATCAACCCAACCCGTGTACTTCCGAGCGGGCACTCCCCTGATCAAGATGAGGGCGTGACTCTTGGGGGCTTCGGGTCCATGCGGCCAGGTCGTCGGCATGTGTTGGAGAATGCCGAGCAACACACCGTCTTCGATGTTTCAGTGCCCAGACTCGAAGAGAAACTCAGAGATGGGCCAAAGAACTCCAGGTTCTGCCGATCAACTCCGAGTTGCACTCCCTTCCCAGGACCTTATCTTCTTCGTATGTGAGTCTTCGTCCGAAGGTGTTCATGGCGATCCTCTCTGACGGAGTCGGCGCAGATATCCCTCTTGCTGGCTGGAAAACCGTCGATCCAAACCTAGATCATCTTCATGCGCCCAACCAGAAGTGTTCCAAGAATGATGGCCTTTGGACTCCACTGGGTTGTTCTCCTTCTTGGACTCTTGCAAAGCTTAATTTCTAGATTACACGAAGCCTTGTATGGCCGTTCACAAGTGTTGAAACCATAAAGGGAAAGCTGAAGGATTGAAGGATCAAACTCAGACTACCAACTTGACGGAGTTGCCCCCAGAAGACGGGAAAGCTGCCTTGTCAGCAAAGGAGATCAGCACCCCAGAGAGGGACATGATCATGGACCTGGAAGACGCCAGCGATTTTAGGTCTTCCGAGCGGCACTGCAGCGGCAATCAGTGGCGAAGTGGTCAGTTCTATGACCCGTGGATGATTGCTATGACCTGTGGCTGGTGTTCAAGTCTTCAGGGGCCAGCTTCCTCTGAGTTCGCATCCTGAAGGATGCCTCACAAGCACATGTTGCACCATTGTATGGAAGGTCCATGTCATTGCCTATGCTGCTTGCAATTCACAAGTGTGCCGATAGCATACCACCCATGCCGAGACACAGGCATTCTGCTTGAAGCTCGTCGATTCGAAGCTCGGTCTAAAGCCGATCCGAGGAGCACGAGCTGGTTCTGCGTGTTGAAGTAGTCGCATCTCCTCTTCTTCATCATGCCTGGGACGTCCCCGGCAAAAGCTGCGTCCAGGGCTTCTTTTCCGCCGTCATCTGTGTCGTAGTGGTGCTTCTTGCCGGTCTGGGAAGACCAAAAGAACATGCCCAAAAAAGCCTTCAGTCCGAAAAGGCTTCGGAGCCTTGGACGCGACTCACTCATCACTCATCACTCCGAGCCACACTCACGGGCGCGTTCATCTTCAAGGACCTCCTCCTCATTCCCATGGCCGGCGACCGGAAGGCCCAAGCAGATGAAGGCCTGAGAGCATGAAAAATGGAAAAGGCGGGAGGGTCCGAAAGGGAACCACCTCCTATACACTTGAGTCCGAAATGGAATCCAAGGAGGTGGATTCCTAATACACTTGAAGGGAACCACCTCCTTGGACCCTTGTGCTGGGCACACGCATCAGACAACCAGTCGGCTGACTTGGCCAAAGTGCATTGGGGCAGCTGCTGCCCAAGGCCTGGCAGTGTTCACAAAAGAAACAAACAAAAACTGACCACAAAGCTTAACAATTGGAGTTATAACCAAAGGAGTTTTCTTCCACCTTGGAAAATGACTCTAGGTTTTAAAAACGACGACAACCCTTTTCCCACCGGTGTTTCCGGGCTTTGGAGGCGCCCTGTGGCATTGGCCACTCGAAATCGAAACGCATTGGTCGATGAGGATCGTCGGCTGGAACCTGAAAAGAATCGCAACCGTTTGGCGGTTGAAAAGCCCTTGTTGTAGAGCTTCCAGCCCGCCTGAGCCCGCTCTTCTGGGGTAAAGGCTTGCTCCTCGGCTGGCAAGTGAATACTCAAGCATTGGGGAAGTCAAACCGATCAGTCAGAGTCATGCTGCAAATCGAGAGTGTCAAAGCGTTCTCCCTATGCATGTGCAAACCTGAAACTTGAAACCTCAAACCTCCCCAAAAGCTTCCTGTTTGGTGCCCTCAACCGGCAAATTCAGAGAGACTTTGGGAACACCCGATGCTCATGGCACGCCAGGTGCCAAACGGCTGTTCTCATCCTCTCCGCCTTGGGACCTTCGCCCCCCCATCGACTGCACGGACGAGCGTCCAAGGCTGCCAGGTGCCTCACCGCCGCGGCACGTAAGGCCTCGGCCTGCGGCTGTGGGCCGTGGAGACCGCGAGCCGAAGGGTCCAAAAGGAGTGCGCGCCCTTTTCGGGGGGTGAGGGTGGTGAGGGTGGTGAGGGTGTCACTCCAAGTTCTTAGCAAGTGGTGGTTTTTTCCGGTTTCGGCAGTGACCCATCGGGTCTGTGAAAAAGGGCGACCGGGTCCGTCGAGAGAATCCCTCGGATTGAAACTAGAACAACCGAGTGGCACCAAGGCTTCTTCCAAGCTTCTTGCAGGGGTTCTGGGACTCCAACGTTTGACCCAGCGAGAGGCGGAGGCTCGACCACCCAAACCAAGTGCCAGGGCGACCGGTTGGTGAAGGAGTTCGGCACCGTATGCGTCTCTGAAGCCCCCGTCCACCTCGATCCACCGCCCAGGGGCGTGGCACCTCGGAGAGGAGGCCGGACGCTCCGGGCGTGGCTTCCAGGTTCTCATCCACGGAGCTCTCCTTGGACATCCCCAGACCGTTTCCCAGGAGAACGACACCGAATCTGATTCCATCCCGATTGTCAGCGGATCTTTGATGTCGCAAGCGCGAGCACGCGCGAGAGAGAGAGAGAGAGCGCGCGCCAACTTCTTCCAATGTTTGTCGGGGATCTAGAAGGCAGAGTGAAGTAGACCTTCAATAAGGGTTAACGACGAACGACTACATAAAACTAAAGCCCTCCATTTGGATTGAAAAACCATGAAAAACCTCTTCATAGGCTTCATAGGGGTGGTTCTAAAAAAATCAAGAGTGAGTCTAGAGTCTAGATCATTCTACAGCGTCCTCGATCCCAAGCCCGTTGCTCTTGCGGCAGGGTGCCCCGCTGATCTGCCGCGGAGGCGGGTGGAAGCGCAGCCCGTGGTCCGTCTCGCTGTCCGTTGGCGTGGGTGGGACCTCTGGCGCCTGGGCGCAACCAAGGTGCCCTAGCAGCAAACCTCTAAGAGAAAAGAAAGAAAAAAAAAGAAGAGGAGGAGGAAGAAAGAAGAAAAGGAGGATCAAGAAAGAATAAAAGTTTAAAAAATAAAAATAAAGAAAGGTGTCCTTTCCCCTTTTCTTCCATGTCCCCCCTTCCTTGGTCGAGGGCTCTATGTAAACCTGAATGCCATTTCACTAACAGCTGGGCCCGTGTCTAGTGTAAATGCAATTCCTTATCCATACGCACCAGCAACACATATATGATTGAACATTGAAACGTCCTTCTCCGAGTCATCCACGTGGAGAGTAGGGTTTCCCCACCAAACCCACTCAGTAGTAGAGAATGGGTTTGGTCTTCCAAGGGCCTATCTTCCACTTCCGGGAGTGTACTTCGCATGATCCTTCTGGCCCGTCCAAGGCACGCCATCTGCCTCGCGCGAGCGCATGGGCCCGGGAGTCCTCGCGCGGCCCGCGGCCCGTGGTGGACCATCGACGACCACCGCAAAGGCATAAACCATCTATAATATATATATAGATAGATAGATAAATAGTTGGTTTAGTGATATGATATATATATATGTGTGTGTGTGTGAGATATATTATATATGATATAAACCATCTATATGATGGTTTAGTCCAAACAATTTCCAACACTAGGTCCGGTTCAGCTGGTGATATCTTAGCCCTGTCTCACACCGTGCTGGTAGGTGCTGGTGGCTTCTTCTTGGCATTTCGGCGGCATCTCCCCATCAGTTGGCCCCCCCAAAAAAAGGATGCGCGCAGTTGGTAAACCGGTGTAAACCGGTGTAAATCGGTAAACCGGTGTAAACCGGTGTCAATCGGTAAACCGGTGTCGTCAAATACCAGACGCGCGTGATCCCCCTGCGCTCCTGCTGCGGCGGTACCGGGAGCGCTGCTTGGGCGTCAGGACGTCTCGCTCCTCCAAGTCCTCGAGCTGCGGACGTCGAGCGACGCAGCACCGCGCGCAGCGACGCAGCACCGCGGCGCGCGGCGCATGATCACCGAGGACCCCCGGCGTCCACCGAGGGCTTCCGGTTGGACTGCAGGTCTGGATCCGAGCTCGACCTCACCCACGCGCTTGCCACGGGAGGCAACCGAACGGGAACCTTGGGACACATCCAGATCTGTCATAGGGAGACCATCCGGCGATTGGTTGAGCCAAAACGAGAGGTTCCACCTCCCCCCCGCGGCTCCCGCCTCAAGATACGCTGCACGTGCGGCGGGCCAGGTGCCACCTGTGCCGTGCGTATGGACGCCACGGTGACCACCAAACCATTGGGAAACCTCAAGAAAACCCAAAGTAGAGAGTGTAGGTGCATCGGATCTCCGAGGTCGAGATTTATACCACTGATTTCGTGCGTGAGTGGCGGGATGGGGTCAAACTCGCACAGCCGCCTTTTTGCTTTAGGTTGGCGTGTCTCACCAAGCGAGGAAAAATCAAATGAGAAAAGGTGCGCCTCACGCGTGTGAGCACATGAAAGCTGAGCATCTTTTAAAAGTGCCCGTCAAGAAATCATTGCATCTACTCAATCTATTCGGAATCTACTCAATCTACTCCGGGCTCACTTGGAGTCATCCAATGTGGCCACTCCAGGCAACACCTTACCTTCCAACAGCTCCAAGGAAGCGCCGCCGCCAGTGCTGCAGTGGGAGACCTGTTTTTGTTCAGCCGCAACCGGATCTTTGCCCAAAAGCAACACATTGGCCCTTGATCATTCTATCAACACTGTCCATGGCCATAATTCACCATATTCATCCACAATCACCCGGATCTATCATTTTTCACTGTCTATCACTTATATATATTCTCAACAGTTGCTTCTCCCACAAGATCTTCACCCACTAGTCCCGGCACCTTGTCCACGGTGTCATAGACCTTGCACGCGGTGGCCGTGTCGCCGCCGCCGATCACGGACACAGCACCCTCCTTGGTGACCTCGACGATGGTCTGCATCCTGGGCAGGTTGGTCGACTGCATTCGGCGGAGAACGACGTGTGGCGGATTTGGGTGGCGTCTGCGATCTTTGATGTGTTTTGCCTGCTAGAGGGCCTCTGGCCTCTGATATGTCACACAACTCATGAGCCGGGCATCATCTGCTTGGTGCCCTTCTCGAAGGCCTTCATCTCAAAGACGCCCATGGGGCCGTTCCACACCTGAGCGAAGCTTGCTCAACATCTTGGACACACTAGGGTGAAGGGTTCGCCTTGCAGCATGCGCATCAGATCCATCCATAAAAAGGCTTAGGCTATCCGAACAGGCTTCAAACACTCAATGCAGGCGAGGCACAATGGTCTTGGACTTCTTGATGGCCTCATCGTTCATGGCAATGGACTTGGGGCC